AACATACTTGTCCACTCATGTCCAGATACAAAACTTTAACACTTAGACACCTTATATAGTTGCTATCATTCTTAAGGTTGTCTTGCTTGTAATAATTCTTTCTCTCCACACACCTTTTAACTCTGCAAGAAAACATTATTTTTATTTTCATAAATGTATTAATGTTTTATTGATTACAGTTTATTAATTTTTTGTATACCAGCTGTAGCCTCCTCCCTCATCCCCAGCCAAACTCACCCTCCTTCCATCATCTCCTCCAATTCCCTTACCAATCTCTGATAGGGGAGGTCCTCCTTCCTTTCCCTCTGACCCAAACCTAACAGGTATCATCAGGACTGGCTGCATTGTCTTTCTCTGTGGCCTGGTAAGGCTGCTCCCGTATCAAGGGAAGGTGATCAAAGAGCCAGCCACTGGGTTCATGTCAGAGACAGTCCCTGTCCCCATTACTAGGAAAAGCACTTGGAGACTGAACTGCCATGGGCTGTGTCTGTGCAGGGATTCTAGGTTATCTCCATGGATGGTCCTTGGTTGGAGTATCAGTCTCAGAAAAGACCCTGTGCCTAGATATTTTGGTTCTGTTGCTCTTCTAGAGGAGCTCCTGTCCTCCTCAGGTCTTTCATCTCCCCCTTCTTTCAAAAGATTCCCTGCACTCTAAGAGACCACAGATGGCAACCCGGACTACTATACGCAGCAAAGCTTTCAATCAACATAGATGGAGAAAACAAAATATTCCATGACAAAAATAAACTTAAAAAATATCTACACAGCAACCCAGCCCTACAGTAGATACTACAAGGAAAACTCCAGTCCATCGAAATCAACTACACCCAAGAAAACATAGGACATGGATAACTTCACAATGAAAAATTAAAAGAAAACAAGTTCCTTTCCAATACCACAGAGGGCCTCTGAAAGGCTCTACCGTGCAGGTATCAAAGCAGATACTGAGATTATAGGCAAACTTTGGGTAGAGTGCAGAGAATCATTTAAAAGTAGGGGGAGATAGTAAGACCTGAAGAGGATAGGAACTCCATAAAGAGAGCAACAGAACCAAAATATCTGGGCACAGTGGTCTTTTCTGGGACTGATATTCTGACCAAGGACCATCCATGGAGAAGATAACCTAGAACCCCTGCACAGATGTAGCCCATGGCATTTCAGTGTAAAAGTGGGTTCCATAGTAATGGGAACAGGGCCTATCTTTGACATGAACTGATTAGCCTGCTCTTTGATCAACTCCTCCTGAGTGGGGAGCAGCCTTACCAGGCCACAGAGAAACACAATGCAGCTACTCCTGATAGATTAGATCAGAAAGAAGGATAGGAAGTCCTCATCTATGAGTGGACTGGGGGAGGGGCACAGGTGGAGAAGGGGGAAGGAGGGTGGGACTGGAATGAGAGAAGGGAGGGAGCTACAGGGGGAGATAAAAAGTGAATAAACTCTAGTCAATATAAATAAAAATAGTAAATAAAAAAGAAAATAAGCATAGATACACAGTAAAACCACCAACTCAATAAAAGGAACTAATGTTCATTGGTCACTATTATCTATCAACATCAATGGACTCAATTCGCCAATAAAAAGACAGAGACTAACAGAATGTGGAAACAGGATCTGACAGTCTGCTGCATCCAATAAACAAACCTCTGTAGCAAAGATAAACTTCTGTTTCAGAGTAGAGGTCTGGAAAAGTTTTTTTTAAGCAAACAGACCCAGAAAACAAGCTGGGGTAGCTATCCTAATATCTAATAAAATAGATGGTCAACCAAAATTAATCAAAAAAGATGAAGAGGCAAACTTCATTCTCATCAATGGAAAAATCCACCAGGAGGACATCACAATCCTGAATATCTATGCCCAAAATACAAGAGCACCTGCATTTGTAAAGGAAACATTATTAAAGCTCAAATCACACATAGATCCCAACACCTTAATAGTGGGAGACTTCAAACTCCACTCTCATTAAGAGGGATTATTATTTTTATAAAGCTTTCTTATATGAAAGTATGTAATGGTTTTTCCACGTCAATGATAAATTTAAACAAAAAAATCTGAACCCTGGTTAAAATGCAAACAACATTAACAGAATATAGAAGTGCATGAAGAATGATTTCTGCTTACCAAAATGAAAATAAGATTCTAATACATTCAATCGTAGTTCATCCTATTTGTTCAGAGAAAATACACATTGTTTTCTCAATGAAACATTCTAGAGTAGAATTTCTTTCATAAATTTCTCCAAGAAAGGACTCCACAAACATTCAGTTTGGAAGGTCTAAGAAGACGCAATTTTTAGTTTTCTTCTTAAAAGTTTTGATATGAATGTTGAACATAAATATCAATGTTACAATGGTTTCAACATACTCCCCAATCTACTTCAAACACCATGAAACCACACTCAGTTAAAATACCAAGAAGGTATAATCAAAATATCACATTAAAAGTGTTTTATAGGAAAGCTCACAGAATCTCTGCTTTCCTAGTAATGCTTGGGAAGTTGATGGGTACATACAACAGTGTGTTCATAGTTATAGCCGAGTGAGTGTATTGGTTGCACGTACTTGAGTCTCAGTTCAATCTCCAGCATGAAAGAAAAAAAAAAAAAAAGAAAAGAAAGGGAAATAGTATAAACAAGTACACAATGGCCATTCAAAAATGATGTACCTCTTTTCTTCTAAATGGAGAAATAATGGTTGGTTAAAACAGAAAAACACCAATGATCCTCAAACACATTGGGATTGTTCAGAGTGTGAGTTCCACACTTACTCTATTAGTCCCAACTACTTGAATACAGACGCAGGAGGATCACACTAATACTCCAGAGTTCAGTGGTAGTGTGGATAAATATACTGAGACTCCGTTTCTAAATCAATCAATCAACCAGTCAATCAATCTCTTTATATACTTATCTTCCCCCATCTCACCTTTTCCCCTCTTTCTTCCTTTTCACTTACTTAAAGGGCCAAAGATGGAGTTCAACACATAGGACACATTAGGTTAAATACTCCCTTTAGCTATATTTCTTTCTGAAAGCCTTTGCATGTTCCTCTTACATATCTATGCAGATGACCTAGTGATTCAGATGTTTTTATTTCCCATTGCAAGAAAGTAAAATACCTGTGTAGTCAAGCAAGTACTGATGTTATTTCTAATAAGATGAGTAGTCACAGCTGTATCCTTAAAATGCTTGGTAAGCAGCAGTAATTATGGATTATGAAAGTAGAAAGGCTTTTGAAAAGTAACTTTTATTCTAGTCGTTTTTCTTAAGGAGCTTTATTTGTGACACTGGGATTCTGTTAGTGATTCAAAAGCCAATATGGATGTGCCATTTTTTTTGTCTTGATTCATAATACTTATCACCATGAAGGTGATCAGCTAGCATTTCCTTAAAGTCCAGGGACTTATTAGTTGTGTTTTTCTCATTTCCCAAGTACAGAGGGCACATTAACTAATGGAATAATACAATAATATATCTAACAGAAGCATGTATTTTGTATTGACATACATGGAGCTTTAAAATGGGGAAAGGTTAATGAAGAATGGAGAAGAGTGTTCTGAAAGTATCCCTAGGAGAGCTGAGGTGGCATGGTCATATCAAATGCTATTGTTGGCAGACAGCTAAGCTGAACACTACTTGGGAATTTTCTATAGCACGAAACACAAAAAAGGCTAATATTGCAAAATTAAAAATAACATGGAAATGGTGGTTTTAAAGATGTTTCTCCTTGTAAAAAATCAATTTTAGTTAATTAATTTAATTTGATAGATTAAACTACTGCCAGCAAAGATTCAGTGTCAGTAACATGAAACTCTCTTAGTGGGAGTTGCTGGACTGGTAGGTGTTTATAGAAGACTTAAAAAAAAAAAAGGTGATATGTGATATGTTCATTGGGCCTTAAAGTTTCTATAAGAACTGATCAGACATACAAAGTGTGATGATTCAGATAGATGAAAAGTAAATGGCAGGAAGTTATGAGAAAATATGACCAATTTGGTTAGCATAGAAAGAGTATGCTATATTATCTGCACATGAATCATTAAAAAAGAAAAGTGAAGTCAGGGATAGAAAGAAGAGAGATAACTACCCTATTTAACAGCTAGGCTTCACTATATCCTGTAAATAATTTTAGATTAAAGTGGGGAAAGTTGGGATGATGCAAAAATGTCAGTAAGGGGATTATTCATTCATTTACTCAACATTTAAAAGGCAGTGCTTATAATATGCCACACACACTGACTGGCCAATGAAAATGAGTATTTCATCTATGTAAGTAAGAAATAATAGGGATTTCAAAAAAAACAGTGATTGAAAAAGAGGAATAAAAAAGAAAAAAAAAACATTTGAGGGAGAATAACCAATGACATAAAAAACGTGAAACTGTAGAAGGATATAAGACTGAACCGAAATTTACTATCAGCTTGCAATTAGAAAACAAAAGGATTGGAGAACAAATGATTTTGTTTCAGATAAGCTTTACTATTATTAAGGAAAAAGTCCCAAATTGGAGCTTCTGGTCTTGGCAAGTTTATTGTTATTCTGTTATGATACCAAGTAACACTCACACACACACACACGAAAAATTCCATTAAAATCCAACCAAAGCACTTCCGTCCAAAACAAAACAAAACAAACAAACAAACAAACAAACACCTACTTCATGATAAATTAATTTCCTAACGGCCAAAAAAAAAAAAAAATTGAAATGTTTTAACTTGTTAGTATTTCATCTTATGAGCCTACCACACTACCTACCACACTAATGAGACTCTTTAATATTTCCTTTTTTAATAGTGAAGATAGACAAGTGATTGCATCACTGACTTTTCTTGGAGGAAACCCCCGTGTGAAAGATTTTTAAAATAAGGGGAAAAATGGGCTCCTTTTTAAGGCTTATAGGCCCCATAACTTAACTATGTGAGATAAAAACACTGGGGGAATTTAAATGAACACTCTTTTGGTTGCTCTCCAAAGTAGTGTGGAACAAATTAGAACACAGTACCTTGACTTTTTCAAGGTGATCTTGGAGAGAGTCAATGAGGAGATCCCCTACTGGCTGCCAGGATCCCTTGATCACCTCAGCGTGGCGCAACTTTAGGTCCAGTTCATCTGCAGCTTCTTGAAGTTCCTGCAGTTTTTCAAGAGCCTCATCTATTTTTCTCTGCCAATCAGCTGAGTGCAGGTTCAATTTGTCCCATTCAGTGTTGACCTCTTCAGCCTGCTTTTGTAGGAGCCAAGTGACATTCTGAGCTCTTTCTTCAGGAGGCAGCTCTAAATTGGCAATATGACAAGGTTTTAGGCCACATCAATTTATCTTAAAAAAAGATGAAAAGGTCAGACTAGATGAAAGGAAGGGGATATAGATTAACAAGAGGCCAGCTTACTGATTAATGGCTCTTTTATACTTTGGCATAAATTTTGATACAGTATATTGCAGCTAAACTGTCTGTCTTCCTTAGTAAATTTGTTCTACTCTCTGTCAATCAGATAAATCAAGAGTCATTTAAACTTTCAGAGAGAAAAATGTTAGCACATGCTGAACAGTTCTAATTTATTTCAGTCAGTCTCCTAAACTGAAAATTAGCTTGTAGTCTTTGTAAAAATAGAATTCCTTTCCACAGATAAGCTCCTTTGTTTACTATTCTCTAAATATTCAAATAACTGATCACTGACTGCTTTATTTATGACTGTGAAAACAGGTTTATGCCTGGTGGTTTATGATTTCACATTCTTTTTTAAACACCTACATTTAATTTGAATTATTTCTGTTTAACCCAGAAGTATGAGAGTGATATAGACGTGGCAGCAAGCATGGCTAGGCTATTTTATCATCACTGACCTTCTTATCAATATGTTATTACAGTTGCACATTCAATTACCTCTGGGCTCCTGGTAGAGTTTTTCTAGTCCTTCCAAAGGCTGCTCTGTTATAAATATTCTCACAGTCTCCAGAGTACTCATGATTACAGGTTCTTTAGTTTTCAATTCCCTCTTGAAGGCCTGTGAAATGAGATGAAAAGAAATGCTTAGTTGGTTGGCAGAATGCTCCTCAAAATTAATCCTGGGTGTTCAAAACTTTTTTATGTAACACCTCAGTCAATTTCTATTTCCTTTACTTATAAACTGGTAATCATAAAATGGTAAGAAAAGCTACCTGATTCTTAATGTTAATGAGGAAACCACTATGTTTGCCAAACTTTTCTGTGGAAAAGTGGGGAGCTTTCAAGGCAGGTAATATGCTATTATTAAGACAAGTATATTTTGTTTATATGAGACTTGACTAGCAGATATAGAGATAAAATCATAAGGTATATATTGCAAAATCTAACCATGGCTAATGATGATTTAAGCATTCATAAAACAGTGACCTCTAGTACAAAATAGAGAAAACATTAGCTGTTAGGTGGAGGAATTCTGACCTTACTGAAGTATACAAAAAAATCAACTGATAATAATTCTGTCAAAATGTTTGTACTCTAATTAAGCAATTGAAAATTTGAAATAGTTTTGAAAAACTACTCATTATATTTTACATTGTGACTCTTCTGAGAAGAATAGAAATATTTGGAACTATTGTGGATACAGTGATTGTGAATAGCTTTCTATAAATGACCTAAAATAGATATCTTTCAGACTAGTTAGTTAGTCAGGCTGGTTGAGCATTTTAATCATTAGTCTATATTCTCTGTTACAGGGAATTAAAAGAGGAGAAAAATTAGATTTGCCTTCAAGAACTTCTTGGACCAAAATAAGAAAGAAAAATGTGGAAATGGGGTTGTAGCTCATTGCTAATCGTAGGGAGAAAATATGTCCGAAGATGAACCACATGACGTCTTGGATCGAATCCTAACACTGGATTATCTCTAACCAAACACAGCAAAAACAAAGAATGAAAGGATAAACAAAAATGAAAGAAATGTTGAATAAGTTGATTGAAAATTCTAAAGTCATACTTAAGCCAGTGGGACACACAGTGTTGCATAAATTAATATTCAAAAATATAAAAAATAGTTTTTTTACCCCAGATTATATATCATAGATGTTCATGTTAATAAAAGCTATTAATTATCACACATGCAATAATATATCTGATTAATAATAATCATTATTCTTCTGACCTAAGGATTAACTATGCACCATTTCAACTCTATATTATTTTTAGTAACGTTGTTAAATGAGTTTAAGCCCTCTTATATCACTGAGAAAAATAAGTGGTGATTTCCTTTAAAATTCAGACATAGCACTTTAATATAAAAGTACCTCAAAACTATATTATAACATATTTGTTGGTTAAAATGTTAGTGGGGATCACCATTTAAAAGAACCATGAGTTTGCTACTTTATAAAATAATTTGAAATCAAATGCAATGTTATAGGTAGAACCAGACTTTTTTGTAAGCAAATACTCATCTACTCAGTGTGATATTAAAGAAACAAGAAGAGTCTGCATCCACCCATATAATGCGCATGTTTGTGTATCTATATAAGTATGTGAGTATACATTTTGTAGTGTATTTTTTTAATTTTTCATAATCCAACTTTCACAAATACAAGAAAATTATCTCTTTTATTTTTCTACTTGGTGTGAACCTTGATACTGGCTTTGCTAATTATTAAAAAAAAATTCCCAACACCAAACTTCTGTGTCTAAGTAGTTAGACTATATACTAAAAATAATAAAGTTGAGTATAAGTTGGTGCCTCTATTTATGAAGATGCAGTATATCAGGAAGAACTAAACATATAAATCAGTTCAATATAAGATGGGAAAGATTTCTAGGAGATTTTAAGTACATAGAGTTCTAAAGCATAAATGTGAGTTAGTCAGAGAAGAACCGTTAAAGGGCATTCAAAGAAGAGAAATATACACATCCATAGACATAGGAAATAACATCATATATATATATATATATATATATATATATATATATATATATATATA